GTTCCGGCGACCTTTATAAGATTCGAGGCAGCAAACACAGCCAACTCTTTCAAGAAGTTTTGCTATAAAGGGAAGGAGAGAGGTGACATCGTAGCTGGAAGGGTATGTGAGGTCAAGAGATTTTTTTTTTTTAAGGTGGGAAAACTAATGGCATGTGTGTATACTGAGGAGAAATATCAGGTAAAGAGAGAAATTTTAATGGAAAGAAAGGAAAGTTACTGGAGTGATTCTTTGAGTAGGGGGGAGAAGATGAGATCTAGTACGCAAGCGGACAGGTCAGCCTTGGCTGGGAACTAGAAAAGTTCTTCCAAAGTAACAAAAGAGAAGGCAGAGTGCATGGGGAGGTGCAGGTCGATGGGTGGATGTGGAGTGGGAGCTTGCGGAAGTTCTCCAATTGCTTCTATTTTGCCATTTCTGAAGTAAGTAAGTAGGTTTATAACTGGATGTGGGGGGATAGGGGAGCCGGGGGATACTAAAGTTTTCAGAAGAGACAAGGTGTGAAATGATCGTTTAGAAAAATGGCAGAGGAGGTGAACTTGGGACGTATACGGTGATGGCAGAGCAGCAGTGAGGCCCAACTGAGGGTCATGATCATGAATTTAAAATAAGAACAGTGGGCACGGTTGCACTTTTTTTTCTTTTTTGGCAGCCATGTTCAGCTCTCTAATGCAGACAGGAGTAAAGAGAGAGTTGGATCGAATCACACTCTAACCATATTTTAAACTATATTTTAGCCAGAAGCATGACCAAGCAAGAAAAGGCAAGAGAGTAGAGGACTTTCATGACGGAGTAATGATAATGGCTATCGATGGAAGAAGCTAAGCATTAGGATGCTATGAAAAGGATGAGGTACACGAAAAAGCTAGTGGGATCCATGGATGTAGTGGGTTCGGGGGATTATTAACATTGAGGTACTAGAGAGAGTGAGCTGCAAGGATAAGAGGAGATGGGCAGACATGGGGATGTTTGAAACAGATATAAAAAGCTGCAGTTACTAATAATGATGAGGTCTACAGCACAACTATGAGAGCAAGTCGCTGAGATAGGACGGCAGCACAAAGACAGACATAGAGACCACAGGAACAGAACAGAGCGCCCAGAAATAAACCCTCTCAAATGGTCAAGTGATCTTTGACGAGGGTGCCGAGACCATTCAACGGAGAAAAGACAGGCTCTTCCACAAATAGTGCTAGAAAAAATGAAAATGACAAGTGTTGGCAAGGATGTAGAGAAATTGGAACCCTTGTGCACTGTTGTTGGAATATAAAATAGTGTAGCTGCTACGGAAAACAGTATGGTCTTCCTTAAAAAATTTAAAATGGAACTACTATATGATCCAGCAACTCCGCTCTGTGGTATTTAAGCAATGCAACTGAAAGCGGAATCTCAAAAAAATATTGTACATTCATATTTACAGAAGCATTATTCACAATAACCAAGAGGTAGAAGCCACTCATGTGCATTGATGGATGAATAGATAAACAAAATGTGATACACACACACACACACACACACACACACACTATTATTCAGCCTTGAAAAAGGAAGGAAATTCTGACACAGGCTACGACATGGATGAGCCTTGAGGACATTATGCTAAGTGAAATAAACCAGTAACAAAAAGGCAAATACAGGTATGATTCCACTTATATGAGGGATCTGGAGTAGTCAAATTCATAGAAATAAAAAAATAGAATGGTGGTTACCAAGGGCTAGGGGAGGGAAGATTGGGGAGTTGTTATTTAATGCATATAGAGTTTCAGTTTTGCAAGATGAAAGAGTTCTGGAGATTGATTGTATAGCAATGTGAATATATTTAACTCTACTGAACTATACACTTAAAAATGGTTAAGACAGTAAACTTTGTGTTGTGTGTTTTGTATTACAATTAAAAAGAAAAAATAGTTAATTACAATCTAGAATGACTCAAAATTCTTCTTAGTCTATGCACTCATCCTTCTTTCTATATATATTAACAAGTCTGCTAACAAGTAGGAAAAACTGGTTTTAGTTTCATCTTTTTCATATATAAATCCCATCTTCCCGTGAAAGTGCCATTGAAGAGCTTATATCTCTCCTCACCAGACTTCACTGCACCCAACCTGACCCTCTCCCTTCAACGCACACCCTCACCAGGAAGGCACATAGATAAGGAGGCCAGGAAAACGTCCAGTGCCTGCATTAGAGTAAATTGACTTGAACAGCTTTAATCTGAAGAATTCAAAACTCCACCCATTTGCTCTCTCACTCATGCTCTTACGAACTTTGTGAGCTGAAAGAAGGAAGGTAATATTATCCCTTGTATAAACATGAAAATAGAAACAGATCTTAAGATGCATATGTCCGTTCAGCACTCGAGATCATTATCTTGCAAAGGTCATATGGTACTTTGATGGCATAAAACCACACTTAAAACCCAGAACTCCTAAAAGTTCAAGTATTTGTTTTAGTTACAAGTACTTGTTTTGATTGGAAAGCATCTCCCAAACAAGCATTGATTTTAATAACTAAAACAAAGCAAACATTTGTTTTGAAATTTTCTCTATTAAAAAAATGTGTAGAGAACGTAAAGGCACAGATCCAATACACATAAACAGAGGACAATGTGAATGAGCTTACTGGCAGGAAGTGGTTTAAATTGTTTCCAAAGTTGTATTATGTTGTTTAGATCAGCAGTAGATGTTAACTAGTTGATCACATGTGGAGAGATAAGGGGAAAGAAAAAAAATAAATAACCCCTTTTATGCAAAATAAAACTGCATTGAACTAGCGGATTTAAGGAATAGACAAATTAAGTTAGGGAATAACAATTCACTTTTTAAAATTTTTTCTATAGATTTCCTTTATAATGAAAGCCCAGTAATGTATTTAAAGCATGATTCCATATACAGAAGTTCGACTTCAATCCAATCTATCAAGAAAATATCTAACTTTAATAAAACAAGGTAGAAAATGAATTCATTTCAGACCAAATTGTAAAAGGTTCTACGAAGAGAGAGCAATACCCTAAGTAGAAAAGTGAAATTATAATCTATTGTGGAGCTAAAACTAACATGTTATAAATATCGGAATGTGTGAAAAATCTTTAGGCATAAAGAACTTATTAAATGTTAAACAAGCCTGGGGTAGAAGAACCTAAGAAATAACTTCGAAGAGTTTGACAATTTGCAACGATGATAGGTAAAATGACCAATCGTTCATTTGCCCATGAATGAGGAAATGATGCCAGTCCGGACAAGCTAACCACCCCCACCACTTCCAATTAATCTCTTTGCCTTAGTTGTCACCTCCACCCTCTCCTGTAGCCTTTGGTCAGTTAGCTCTTTCTGCAGTTTTCCTATCTACCGTGCAACAATTAGATTCTAAACCAAAGCTGCAAAAGAAAGGACATCTTATAACTTTAAGATTAAGACTCAGAATTAAAGAACAGAATGCTTCAAGATATAGTGATTTTTGCACTTTGATCTTTGTCATAGGATATTATGAAGATACAAAAATATAAAAATATTAAGCAACCTTTAAAAACTTTTTAATTTGGAATAATTGCAACACCGTACAATGGACTCTCATATAGTCTTCATCCAGATTCACCAATTGTTTACATTTATATTTGCTCAACTAATTTCATTCTCCGTTGAACTATTTGAGAACAAATTGAGACATTACACCCCTTTACCTCTAAATACTTCACTGTGTATTTCATAAGAACAAGGGCATTGTCTTACAAGACTCCAATAAGATTACCCAAAGCAGGAAATTTAATATGGTTACAATATTATTATTTCATATATAGTTCATATTCAAAGTTGGCCACAGTAATGTTCTTTATAGGTTGGCCACAGTAATGTTCTTTATAGGTATTTTCCCTACTCCAATTCAAGATCACCCATGAATTTAGTTTTCTTGTCTCTTTAGTCTCTTAATTTAGTACAAATCCTTAGGCTTTGATGACATTAATATTTTTGAAGAGTATGGAGCAATTATCTAGATTTGTCTGCTTCAAATACAGGTTATGCATTTTTTTTGCAAGAATATTACATTATGTTATGTCTTTTTCAGGATGTCATATCCGGAGGCGTGTGATGTCTATTCATCCCATAATTCGTGGTGTTAATTTTGATCATTTTGTGGTGTTGGTGTCCACCAAATTTCTCTATTGTAAACTTCTTTGTAATTAATATGTAATTCGTGAGGGGTTATTTTGAGACTATGTAAATATTATGCTGCACATCATATCTTTACTTTCTAGTTTTAGCATCTTTGAATGATTCTTGCCTAAATCAAAAATTTTATTGAGATATTTACAACTCACATATTTTAAAATTCACTACTTTAAAGTGCACCAGTCAGTGGTTTTTAGTATAATCACAAGGTTGTGCAACCATCGCCATTACCAAATTCCAAAACATTTTCCTCACCCCAGAAGGAAACCCTGTACCCTTTAGCTAACACTCCCCTTTCCTCCACTCCCTTTTGCCTCTGGAAACCACTAATCTACTTTCTGTCTCTATGGATTTGGCCATTTCAGACATTTCATGTAAATAAAATCATACAATATGCGATCCTTTGTGTCTGGCTTCTTTCATTTAACATTTTCAAGCTTCATCCATGTGGTAGTTTTAATCAATACTTCATTCCTTTTTATTTGCCTAAATCGATTATTACTATGATTCTTGAAAGATGATGATATTCTCACGACACCGTTCTGTCTACACTTATTAGGCGACATGATTCTTATCCTTTGTCAGGAAGCTCTTTAGGAAAACTGCAGCGGGAGAAGTAAATTTTAACAGACAGGGCTGCCTTGCCTTCAAGTTCTTTCCACTTTTAGGTAAAAGATCACCTTTCCAGGGGTTTACTGCATCTTCTCTCATTGACACTCGAACAAACCGCAATGTGGGCGCCTGTCTCCGCCTGTCACCCATAGGCTCCTCCCTCTCCTCCAGGTGTCCCCTCCCCGGCTGCTCAAGTAAGGAAGTGACGCACCGGAAGTGCCCCGTTCCCCTTGCAGTGGGGGGAAGGAATCAAACCCCCAAGATGGCGGCGGCGTCGGAGGAGCGGATGGCCGAAGAAGGAGGCGGCGGCCACGGCGACAGCGGCTCGTCTTCGGCCATCGGCTCTACCCAGCGACTGCCCCCACCGCCCCCGTCCCAGCCCCCGCAGCCGGGGTCCCAGGCGCCCCCAGCCCCGACGCTGGCTCCGGACCAGCTGCCTCAAAACAACACGCTGGTGGCGCTGCCCATCGTAGCCATCGAGAACATCCTCAGCTTTATGTCCTACGACGAAATTAGCCAGCTCCGCCTGGTGAGGCCCCCGCGGGACCCCCGCCGCCCTCTCCGCGGGGCCGAGGTGTGGGGAGGGACGAATTGGGGAGCGCGTTCCCCGGGGAGGGAGCACCCCGCTAGCCCAGCCGGCGCCAGAGCGCGGAGCGTGTCCTTCGCGCCCCGAAGTCTCGGCGTCTGTCATCGGGGCTTGTCCCGATTCCGCCCTTGCTTCGGGGATGGGGGCGCCTGCCTGGGAGAACTTCGCCTTGCGGGGGCCCATGCCCCCCGCCCGGAAGCAGGGCGCGGGCGGGGAGGAGGTAGCGGGAGTTGAGCTTCCCACCTTCCATCGGCCTGAGCATGGACCCCCGAGGGGGCTCGTCCTCTGCCTTTTGTATCCCACCTTCCAGACTCCGGCCGGAGTTGGGGAAGAAGACTCCCCAAAAGGCCAAATGATCCCACGATCCCAGCCAGGTTTGATTTATCTGCAAGAATAACGTATTGTTCCCCCCAACCACCCAAGTTTCCTTGCTGGAGAAAATTAAGTAGGGTTGGTCGGTTTTCCCCAAACTGGGTTGAGGTTCCGAGGACTCGACCAGCACCCCGTAATTGACTAATAAAGTAGAGCCCTGAGAAATTGCCATTCTGGCTCTGCCTCGCCCCTGACACTTCCCACCCCCAGTGTAGCAACTTGCCCCTTGACCGGGGGTTTTTCTCTCTTGCAATTCGTTTTCAAACTAGTGATTTACGCCCACCTGCCAGCTTTAGGGGAGGTTTTATACTTCAAAATCACAGTAGTTTGTTCAGCCAGAGATTTATAAAAAGGATTTGCCATTGGAGTTTTATTTCACTCCAGAGATTTGACCGAAGGTTTGATGAATATGTTAGTTTAGTCAGATATTTTGCTTTCTTTCAGTGAATTTATCTTTAAGTGGTAAGAAAATTAAAGGAGGTGTACATTTTGAAGTCATTGCAAATCGGTTTTGTGTAGATACTAAATCTGGTCGGGGTCATTTTTAAGAGGACAAAGACATATTTCCGAATGTGCTGTGTGTAGCATTTTCTTACTCATCAATATGCCATATTTTAGGTTTACACCTCCAGTGTAAAATTGATTATAACTGTATTTTGGAAAGGAAGTCATGCTTCTTTTTTAAAGAAAGTTTATTAAAATTAATTCAAACTAATAACCAGTTTTTTTCCTAGTCATCAGCAGTTCAACCATTTCAGTCTGCAGGATGGAAAATTCTTCAGTCGAAAAGTGATATTTCAAAATTGATTGTCCCTGAATTTTCAAGACTCGTCATCGTAGAATTTCATGTCAAATCTTAAATATTCTTTCAAATTTTTTTAAAGGATGGCGTTTGATCTAGATTTATGGTATACATACATTTATGGTATCTGGAAATTGGGCACAACATTTGCTTGAATTAAGCCTTTCAGCCAGACAATGGCTTTGTAAGACTTGGAATGGCTACAGTTCTGTTCTATAAATGTTGAAGAAAACTGGGGAGGGCTTTTTGTTCATTTGTTAGTCGTTTTACTTTTTTAAAAATTAAATACATTTTTAAAGGTGTGGGGGGAGGGGACCAGCCTACCCTAGGGGACAGTTAAAACATCCCACAATTTATTAATAAAGGACATCCTTCAAATGAAGTAGTTGCATTCTTAATTCTTAGTAGTTCTATTGTAGCCTTTTAAGAGTACAAATTCGTAGTTTCAAATCGTAAGGTGTCCCTTAACAAGCTCCACTCCCTACTCCTGAAAGATTCTGCAGCCAGTTTTATGTCTCAGAGATGGTTTTTTCTCTGCTTTCGTAATGGGGAACTATTTTGTGTTCCTTTCTTTACTTGAAATTAATACATAGTCTTTTGTAGGGGTTTGGAGGTATCCTTGGTTTTAGATTCTTCGGTATCAGAAGGTACAATTCAGGTTAACATTGGAAAAGAAAGATGTTCTTTTTCGCCACTAGATGTCAGCATTAATTTAATTATAATCTTTATCTGAGCTTGGCTTTCTGGAGACAGTGCCTGGTAGGTGCTTTATATGCAATTCCTAAGCGGCCATTTATGCCTAAAGAACAACTTTTGTATGTATGTGGCTATCTGGCGTATAAATTACATAGTTCCTTTTATTGTGAGTATTTGAGCAGAATTAAGGCTGGATATGCTTGGAAGAGAGTGATGTTAATTAAGAACAGTTAGTGTGCATAAGCTAAATGTCAACTACTCAGAGGCTGATGAGCTAATCTATGTATTGTTCAGTTGCTTAGTTTTTTTCTTCCTTCCCAGTTCGCTAGCCTTATTAGGTCCTCAGTCATAATTATGTTAGCATCTAAGTAGAGGACAGGAACACAGTCCCTGTACTTATTACTCTGAATTTTCTTTAAAAGATTTGCTCTATGTTGAAATTGCTAAAATAATATTTTTCAGTTATTTGTACACTTAAATCGATGAGAGGCTTTGCTTCCTGTTGCCGTGAATAACTGAAATTTGACTGCAGTTATTTCCAAGGGACTGTCCAAATGCCTTATTAAATCTTTTCTTTTTTTGCCATTGACTATTGCTCCAAAAATGTACTCAGAGCTGAGAAATCCTGGTTACACAGAAATAGTTCTTTAAATATTTAACTCCTTCAATATATTTTAAATTACTTGGCTGAAAACAGCTTTGTAATGACAAAACCTGTACTTTGAGTTGTTTTTCCATTAAATCACACAGATTTGCTGATGCAGCATTAAACTTACATACTTTGTCAGGTATGAGAGTTTTTGAAACAAGTGGCAAAGGTTAAGAAGTGAGTTCCTACCCTTAGTTAGGGAGCTGATTGTAGCTAACTCTGACTTGTTAGCACAGTGTTCTCACTGAAAAATGAATATGGATACATTAGGGAAACCCTATCAAATTTTTTCTGAGTGGTTCAAGTGGAGCGCCTATAAATTTAATGGAATCCTATCAGTGGTGCAGGACATAAATGTGACTAAAGGTTAAATTCACTAAGTCTTCCTTATTATCCGGACTGAAACTTTCCAGTTGGTAACAAAATACATAAATACATGCTTTCCTCCTAAGATTGTTCTAGAGAACATTTTAGCTAGTTAAATCTGTTACCCATTTATAATTCCTTTCATATCTTTACTTCAAATGTTAGAAAATTTCAGTTAGAGAGAGAATGGATTGGTAGGAAATATGATTACTTTTGTTTTAACTAGGCAAGCTGTCTTCCTCAGATCTGTTGCTCTATGCCAGTAGTTCTCAACTTTTTTATTACAAGACACTTTTACACTCTTAAAAGTTACAGAGGACCCTTGGAGCTTACCTTAGAAAATCCTAGGAAGCACAAGAATGCACAGCACAATTAGCTGTCAGAACAATGTCATCACATGTCACGTTGCCTCTGGGAAAATCTACTGTATGTTGCAAAAGAACTGAGAGTGAAAATGACAAAAACATCTTAGTGTTATGAAAATAGTTTGGCTTCACAAACCCAAGAGGATCCTGGGAACCCCAGGGGTCTCTCGACCACACTTTGAGAACCACCGCTCTGTATTGCTGTAGAGAATACACTCTTTATTGCTGCTTTTTGTTTTTTCCTCCTGATCAGGTTGTCGATTTGATTAACAGGTACTTAAGTACAGGTAAGAAATTGTAATATTTGGGGGACAATCCATGCTTCCTGCAGATTCTAGTCTCAGAGTGAAGGGGTTTGTTCCATACTCTGTCCACAACATCATCGTTGAGACAGAATGATCCTTGAGCACACTAACAAAGCAGCAGGATGACAGATGCAAAGATGGTTAATACAAGAACGGTGAGGGTCATCGGGAGAGGCTTCCTCAAGATGAGTTTGTATCGAGTTAGTAAAAGTGGAAGAACGTTCCCAGAAGAAAAAAATAATGTATCATATAAAGAAGTCATTGATGAAAGGTGACTTAGATTAAGATGAGATTGATTTGTGATGTGTAAAGGTGCAGGTAGCCTAGATTAGTGAGCAGACTTCCCCTTACTTTCTACCTTTTTTTATTTCACAGACTAGTTAAGTTTAAGAAACGTTTTGAGAACCTCCAGGGTTGACATCTTTCGATCGAGGGAGTAAGAAAGAATGTTTTTTGTTTTTTTTTTAAATTCCATCTCTTAGCATCATCATTATTTCATAAAAGAGACCAGATACACCTGTATACCCTGGTAACTGAGCAGTCCGTGTTCTTATAGTTTGGAGAGGTATATATTAAAAGGATATAAAATCCAACCTCATGATATTTAAGACCAGGAGCAAAAGCTATACCCTTTCGTAGCAGTTTCTCCAGGCCACCTACTTCTAGCATCTTGCACTTAAGACTGAAACAAACATCAAGCTGTTTAGTTTCCCAAACTCCTTAGGCCTCTCCAAGCATGTCTTTTTCTTCTGCCTACAGCCTCTTCTTTATTTCCCTCTCCTGGAAAATATCTGTACCTTCAAATGTTAGTGCCTCTGTAAAGCCTTCTGTGATTCTTCTCTGCACCTGACTCAGGTAGTACTTCTCAGTTGCCACAGTGTCGTGATTGCACTTACATGTGGGGCTTACCTTTGGAAAGGCCTGTTTCCCACTCAGCACCACATAGCCTTTCATCATGAATCCTGACGTCCTTAGACAGTCTGGGATATGATATAAGTACTCATTTGTTGAGTAAACAGTTCTTAAAATTTCATTGTTCTGAGGAAACTATAGAAAATATATGTCATTGTAAAATAAAGGTGTTTTCTGTATAAATTAAAATAGTGCTGAAAAATCGGTTAACTATTTACCTGCAACAGAGAATATTGGAAAATTTTTTTAAATTTAAAGTTTTTAGTTCACTCAAGATGTCTTTTAACATTTTACAAGACCAATTTAAGAAGGTGAGTGACTAAAAAAAAGTACTCTTAAAGATTAAAAATCGGTAAGGTGGTCTGAAGCCAGTATATAATTAACATGAATAGCCATTTACAATAGTGAATTAAGTCTCTTTCCTTGTAATCAACACTCAGTTCCTCTATTAATGAGAATAATGGTACAGAAAATAA